CAAAGCTGACGCAGGTTGTATTATTAGTTCGTCTTGCACTAGATTTGAATTCGGACACATTAATTAGCCCTATTTTAGGACTATATACACACACACACACACACACACACACACACACACACACACATTATTTATAACTATACACTACCTGTCACCTATCCAAGTTTTAGGAACACCAAATAATAACTTCTAGTTGGCATCACACCTTGATTTTTAATTATTTAATTAGGACAGTAAAGTCTGACTTTGCTCAAACAAAAGTCTCAATAATGTTCATGTCTGGTGACTGGACTGGCCAATGCTGGAGCACCTTCTTTGCTTTCAGGAGCTTTGATGTGGAGGCTGAAGTATGGAGGGCTATCCTGAAGAATTTGCCCTCTCCTCTGGTTTGTAATGTAATAGGCAGCACAAATGTTTTGATACCTCAGGCTGTTGATGTTGCAGATCTCTCGCACGCCCCCATACTGAATGTAACCCCAAACCATGATTTTTCCTTCACCAAACTTGACTGATATCTGTGAGAATCTTGAGTCCACGCTGGTTCCAGTAGGTCTTCTGCAGTGCTTGTGATGATTGGGATGCAGCTCAATTGATGATACATCTGAAAAATCCACCTCCTGCTACTTTTCCAAATGATCAACTAGAAGTCAAGTTATTATTTGTTGCTCTAACAACTGAGATTCAAGACAAGATTTTTGTCAGGTAGTGTATTTCTGACTATATATTTTTTTTTTTCTAATTTTCTTTGGGAAGGTGATTGTTGTTGAAGGAAAACTGGAAATAAATCTAATAGTTGGCAAGCCTTGGGTTAAACAAAAATCATGCCATTTCAAAATAACATTAGTCATTCGCCTGCTGTAACTTGAAGTTTCCAGTTTATAATCAGAAATAGTACGTTTCTTAAGGACACTTTTTGCTAATCGGAAGCGTGTAATTTCGACATGGTACAAACGCATGTCGAAACTTCCTTTAACTGTTACCCTTGAGTTCGCACTCAAGGATAATATATATTGTCAAGATCGATTCAGGTTCAGACAATCATGAATATTTATATTAGAGCTATACTGGAAAAACATCCGGGATGTTGGCTGTTAAGGGGAATAGTTCTCAAGAATGAAAACGTCTAAATGTTTACAGTCATTCCAGCCCTGTATTATTGTATTTGCTCAGCTGTAAACCAAAATGTAGAAAGTTCAAGCTGCTCATTTTTATAAAATTAAAGTGATAGTTCACCCAAAATATTAAAAACACCCCATTTACTCTCGCTCATGTGGTTTTAAAGAAACTTATTTTCTTCTGTTGAACACAGAAGAAGATATTTAGAAAAATGATGATTCTTTACTTCCATGGTAGTCATTTTTCCTACTCTGGGAGTCAATGGCTGCGTCCGAAACCGCATACTTCCATACTATATAGTACGCTAAAATCAGTATGCGAGCCGAGTAGTATGTCTGAATTCATAGAATTCGAAAATCAGTATGCGAGAAGTACCCGGATGACTTACTACTTCCGGCAAGATTCTGGAGTGCACATCCCATGCACGCTGCGCTATCCCATAATGCCCCATGAGAGAATTCATGAATGGAAGTGAGGCGACGCAACTGACGCAGGTAGGTCACGTGACCATGACAAAATGGCGGATGTAGTATGTCCGAATTCCATTCATACTTTTCACATTCATACTGTATAGAACGTACTTTTCTAACAGCCAAGTAGTACGTTTAAATTCAAATGCAGTACCTACTGAGTAGTAGGCGGTTTCGGACGCAGCTAATGAGTGCCAGTTTCCAGCATTCTTCAAAATATCTTCCTTTGAGTTCAACAGAAGAAACTCAAATAGGTTTTAAACAAGTAAACAATGACGAAATTTAATTTTTTGGTGAACTACCCATTTAAAATTGATCATTTAAAGCAGTGTTTCCCAACCCTGTTCCTGGAGGCACACCAATAGTACATAGTTTGGACGTCTGCCTTATCTGACCCATTCATTTCAGGTTTCAGTCTCTTCTAATGTTCTGCTGAGTTGATTCAGGTGTTTGATTAGGGAGAGGTTGAAAATGTGTACTGTTGATGTGCCTTAAGGAACAGAGCTTGGAAACATTGATTGAAATGCCTACAATTCTCCCTGAAATAACTAAATTGCATGCTATTTGTATTTTTATTATAAATGTGTTCACATGTGCGCTATTTTACAAATCTTTCGAAACCATTTTCATATTTGCCATCATAATTATTGAAATCCCCCATATGATTAATCAATATGCAACCACATTGAAACATCCTACAAAAATCAATCACACTGAAATCTGATCACTATATACACATTAATCAACCACATTGCATCTTTTTTTTTTTGCAACCTTATCAAAGCTTCAATGCTTGAAATACTGTTTGTGACTAACTACCACACTGGGTCAAAACTGGTGTGAGACAGCATTGAACAGCGCTAATTCTGTAGCATTGATTTAGTGAATACTAGTTTCTACTGCTGTTATCCATTTTAATGTTCCTATGTTTATATATTTAGATATTTACATCCATTTAATATTACACACACACAAATCTGTGTCATTGTTGACCAAATTGTGTGTTTCCTTTCTATTTTATTTGTGTATCTCTTTGCATAATAATAATACATGAGGTTGGAATGACTGAATAAATGACAAACCTACTGAATGAACCCTGTATGGTGTATGCGATTGTGTGATTAAGAAGCGTCGATGATTGGGAAGAGTGTGAAGGAAGACTGCTGAGAATAGCGCTAGTCAATGCTAAGTGAGTTTGAAAGCTGGAGGGAAGGGAGGAGCTGTGGTGAGTCACTTGTTGAGGCATGTTCACCTGATATTTCCTGCACTGGTGGGTGGAGAAGGCTAAAGTGCTGCTAACTGAATTCCTACCTCAGGCTGCACTGAAACATCAGCTACGACGGCACTCTGGGGTTGTCCTGAATTCTGGCTGCTGTGCTTTTGGCTGTTTTTGACTGTCATTCCTCTACTAGCTCTCCTCCTGCTAAACAACGATAAGATTTGTTCCAAAAATTAAAGTCATTCATCAGGAAAGAGCTGATTATCTGTATAAATGCACCTATAAAATCTACAGAATAGAAATGAAATATAAAAGAGCAACAATGCTCTCAAACTCCATTTTAATATAAGACAAGCCACATTTTAAATCGTTGGTTTAGCCAGGTTTGGTTTAAGTTTTTAATCAATCACAATAGACGCGAGAGCTTCGTTCATCTTCAGAACACAAATGAAGATATTTTAGATGAAATCCTGGAGCTCTCTCGTCCGCCATAGACAGCAATGGTGTTGAGATGTTCAGTCTAGAAAAGGAAGCAACAACTTTGCTGAAAAATTCAATGGTTCAACTGTAATCATATGACGCTACGAGAACTCTTTTGTGTGACTAAAACAATATAAAATAACTTTGTTCATCTATCTTCTCATCCATGTCATGTCAGTCCAACGCAATCTCACGACAATTCGTAACTTTTTGATTTAGTGGCTAATTCGTACAGTATATATTCGTACAATCTAATTCGTATAATTTACTATGATTTGTTCATCACCCAATGATGGTTAGGGTTAAGGCTGGGGTTGGGTGCTACACCTCTTTTTTTAAAATAGTACATTTTCGTACAACTGAACTCGAAACGTACGAATTAGCCCCTAAACTGACAAAACGTAAAATATGTTTTCTCGTGAGATCAGGTTGGTCAGACTATTTACTATGACACCTGTTTCACAGTGCAAGCACGAGCAGATCTATCTATCTATCTATCTATCTATCTATCTATCTATCTATCTATCTATCACTTTTTTTTTTACTTTTCATCTGCACCAAGGCTTGTGCTGCAACTCCCCCTATGCTGTTTACTTAACCTACAAGTCTTTATTTTACAAATTATATAGATCCTACTGAACTGTATGCTTCTCAAACTCTATGAGGAGTGTCATTCATGTCGTTTAACTTGCACATGTACAGAAGACAATCAGCTGTGATATCATATAATTTTGTTTTTGATTGTCAGCTTGATGTTAAACTAGTTATAATAAGATTTATACAATAGGCCTATAGTTAAAATGATATTTATACTTGGTCAAACTGGTGTGCAACTTAAGCAAAACTAAAAGTGTTTTAAATTAGGTTTTGTAGTTTGGGCCCAAATAAATATTTATTGCTGTTTTTAATTGTTTAAGTTCATTTGATTGACTAAATATAAATCAGTGGATATTATCGACGCATTTATTGGGTGAGATTGCTACTTTTTATTGTCTTTCAATGTGTTTTTGGTCAACAATGCACTGTCACTTCAGTTAAGTGTGAGCAGCGTGACAAAAATAGACCCAGCGCCAAAACTATAGCAGCACTGCTGCCTCAGCGACGCTCATGCTGACGCGCTGCTTTTGCGCGCGGTATGCTAGCCTTGATCTTTTAACATGAATGCCAAAAAAACAAGCCGCTTGCATTGTATTGTCATAGCAAACACAAAAAAATAAAAATGACCTAATTTTTACGTAATTTTTTGGCCTACAACAGTTTTTTAGGAGCTTTGCATGATTACAGTCGAACCACTGAAGTCACATAGAATGTTTTGACTTGTATTTTTGTTCAAACTACTTATTTAAAATGAACTAAAACAACATGATTAAGTTTTTTTTTCCGGACAACTTCAATTTGTTAAGTTAACTTGATGGATTTGTGTTGGGATAACATAAATTGTGTGGATCCTGCATTTTTTACAGTGTATGGAGGATGAGAGAGCTCTAGGATTTCATCCAAGCTGTTTTAACTTGTGTTCTGGAGATGAATGAAGCTCTCTGGGGATTGAAATGACACGATGGTGACTAATTAGTTAGCAACAGAATTGACCTAAACCTTTAAGTACCCGATAAAGAGACCATGAAATATTGTGTGTGCGGGAATAACAATGTTTACACTACACAACAACAAAAAAAAGGGTCGTAACATTGTTTCAACTATCTGACGAAGCCTGAAAAAGTTCAAATATAATTTTTTTAATCTATGATTAACATTGTTTTTACAACCCAAAGAGGATTGAAAGGAACAAAACATTTGTGTACAATAAACAAACAGCGTTCTGAGTACTTAAGACTAAAACACATATCTTCAATTAACAAACGGCATTTCAACGACCTAACAAAGACTGAAGCGGTTTAAATATCATTTGCTCAATTTGAACAAATATTTCAGCTACCTGACGGAGCCAGAAATTGCTGAAACACTGCCTACGATTCACAAATAACATTTAATAAGGCTTTAATGGTCAAAATATTATCTGTGACTAACTTACAAACCATAGGTGAGAGTAGGAATTGACCGGTAAATCGAAAGCTTTGCCTTTCGGCTCAGTCGGACCGGTACACCAACCACATTACTGCTAGTCATGAGCTTTGGGTCATGACCTAAAGGACACAAGCGGCCGAAGTGAGTTTCCTTCGAAGGGTGGCAGGCCACACTCTTATGGATAGGGTGAGGAGCTCTGACACCCGGGAGGAGCTCGAAGAAGAGCCGCTGCTCCTCAACATCGAGAGAAGTCAGCTGAGGTGGCTCTGGCATCTGTTTCGGATGCCTCCTGGACGCTTACCTAGGGAGGTGTTCCAGGCATGTCCATCCAGGAGGAGGCCTCGAGGTAGACCCAGGACACGCTGGAGGGACTATGCCCCTCGGCTGGCCTGGGAACGCCTCGGGATCCCCCTGGAGGAGCTGAAGGAAGTGTCTGGGGAGAGGGAAGTCTGGGGTTCTCTCCTAAGACTGCTGCCCCCGCAACCCGGCCCCAGAAAAGCAGCAGAGAATGAATGACTAACAAACAAACTTTTTGACAACCCAATGAGGACTGAAGGGTTGAATAGGTTGTCTGTTCACTAATAAACTAAAGAGTTTGACAGCACTGCTCTTTTATATATAGAAAATTAAAAGCTTCAGATTCGTCTGCATTTAAACATTATTTTGATCTTATTTTGTGCGCAAAACAGTCGTGTTTTACACATTTCAACTGTCTCAGTCTCAAACACTCTTGTCAGCAATTCCAACTACCTGCCGTTGCTCATGTGATCTTAAAACCTCACAAGACTGGTGTAGCAGGTCTAATTCCTGCCAGCACATTTTCACCGTGTCAGCCTGGATAGACTCAACCTGAGCGCCAGTGTTTTGGATCTAAAAGAAACGATTATTTTGAAAAGGAGTGCTTGATAAACAGGTGTATTAAAAGCAGCAGGGCAGTGACATGCAAGGCACTTTCTGAAGATGCTATCTGTGCTTATAACATTCATATGATCCTACCAATAGCAGAAATGGGCATTATTGCTGCACTGATTTTTGTCATCTAACAAACATGTGATCCATGATTACGAACAGCTTCTTCCTCTTCAAAATATCCAGAAGACGCACTTTTGAAGAAATGAAAGTAAAACCAGCGCAGTTATTGGTTTGAGATTTGCGCGTCTCAGTCATTATCACATATAAAGTGCCACAGGATAAACTGTGCAAGATTTAAAGGCCACATGATGGTTTTCTACAGTATCTGTTGATCAGGGGAAGATCTCCGAGAATGGAAAATGTTGTTCAGGATCTGAACACGTGCACTGCCCGCACCACGTACTGTCGGCAGATGGGACATTCGCTCATGCGTTTGCCACACTTTGTGCACGTGACCATGTGTCCGCACTCCAGAAGCACACAGTCGATGGGTGAGTCCATACAGATCTTACAGAGGTTCTCCTCCACGGCCGTCCCAGAGCCAGTGTCTGCAGGCAAACAAAGGAGACAAGAATCCATCACTGACTTATGGGGAAAATCTAGATGGAGGAGATTAAATATGTGTTCAATCTATACACTGACTTGAAAACATCATGTAGGGTGAGTTATAAAGGCAATATGTTCTACTGTCCTAACAATTATATAAATAAATGTGCTGTCAAATGATTAAATCACATCCAAAATAAAAGTTTGTGTTTACATAATGTTTGGTTTTATGTGTTATGCATAAGTATATACAGTTGAAGTCAGAATAACTAGCCCCCCTGTATTTTTCCTCTCGATTTCTGTATACAGGAAATGTTTTTTTCAACATAATAGTATTAATAAGTCATTTCTTATAACTGATTTCTTTTATCTTTGCCATGAAGACAGCACATCTTTAAACAAATATTTTTCAAGATATTTAAGGTGACATTTAACCCGTTTGTGCCCAAATTTTTAAAAGGTTTCATGCATAAACAGTTGAAGTCAGAATTATTAGCCCCCCTGAATTATTAGCTCCACTGTTTATTTTTCCCCCAATTTCTGTTTAACAGAGAGAAGATTTTTTCAACACATTTCTAAACATAATAGTTTTAATAACTCATCTCTAATAGCTGATTTATTTCATCTTTACCATGATGACGGTAAATAATATTTGACTAGATGTTTTTCGAAACACTTCTATACAGCTTAAAGTGACATTTAAAGACTTAACTAGGTTAATTAGGTTAACTAGGCAGGTTAGGGTAATTAGGCAAGTTATTGTAAAACGATGGTTTGTTCTGTAGACTATCAAGAAAATGTATAGCTTAAAGGGGCTAATAATTTTGACCTTAAAATGGTGTTTAAAAATTTAAAATCCGCAATTATTTTAGCCGAAATAAGACAAATAAGACTTTCTCCAGAGGAAAAAAAATTATCAGACATACTGTGAAAATTTCCTTGCTCTGTTAAACATCATTTGGGATCATAAGTTGATTTTGACCGTGTATATATAGATTATATTTAGTGATGTATTTAATTATTTATTAAGTATGCAGTAGATTTTTTTGGCCACTGAAAGAAAAATCATGTGGTACAACCAACAAAAGTAAATGAAACATATTTATTTATTTATTTAAGTTCTTGGATAATCTAATTTGTCAGACAAAAAAAGAAACTAAAATATATTAAATAATTAACTAAGTAACATCCATGAGCTCCGCTTGTTAAAATTAAAACAAGCCACCCGGATGAATTCAATCTGCAAGCTTGATGATCGTGAACTGTTAACTGAATCAATTATGCATGAACTCACAATAAACAGGACATAATACTCTTGACAGATTAAATAGCCTCTTAAAATGAATGAAATCTACTCATAACATTTCGAAATCCTATGAAATGGACTCACCTGTGCCTTCTGTAGCATTAGACACTGTCAAAACAGAGAAAAACAAACCAAAAAGAATTTGAAAATACAGCTTAGAATAATGTAATCAACAGAAATAATACATTGAATTTCTATGGTTACTTTAGTAAATGGGATCATGTTTGTACCAATATACTGAATAAAATACAACTTGATTATTATTAATTAATTTGTTTAGTTTTCCATGCAGTTATTCTCTGATGTTATGCATCTAATATACGACATTTGGTATTTATATATTTGGGGCTCTATTTTAATGGTCTAGGTGGAAAGTCTAAATTGCATGGCACAAAAGTTGAGCATAATGTGCATTAAACTAATCAGAGTCTCATCTCCCATACCCTTTAAGAGTCAGTTGCGTTGCACCATGTCGCATTAGCTATTTACATGGTGGACTTGAACGTGAAAACTGAACGTTTCACTATCGAGAAAACATTTAAATAAACCATCTACAGCGCGAGGATAAAGAATGAGCCTCCTCCATTTGGCTTCTTCTTACTTTACTTTTACTCTTTACTCCTTTACTTTGGTGGAGTAAAACGGTGTTGTACTCCCTCCCCTGAGGACATCCATTAGCCTAGATATTTAATTTAGTTTGTTAAGCGCAAAGATTTTGAAAACTATTTCTAAATTCAGTTCTAATTTCCAGCAAATGAATAAATGAACAGTAATAACGAAGTGTGGAAACTGTTATATCCAAACACACGTCCTGTTCTTATGCCCGATATGGAGATGCAGACGTCTCCAAAACTTGACAAGTGGACAAATCGAAACTTGTTTTTTATTAAAACAAATATAAATATGATTATAATAAATACTACTGATAATATTAATAATATTAACAATTTTCATAAATAAACTGAAGAAAAAAAAACAAGATGAAGGCAGTGGTTTTTATATTTATGAAGAAAATAATATTTTTGTAACATTTTAAACCTTTTATTGTTTTCGTATGTAATGATATTTGTGTATTGCTGTACACCCTGAGCAATGTGTAAGCGCTTGGACCCGCATAGGCGCATAACTAGCACGCTTTGCACTGGACTTTAGAGCAATGTTTAGATGGTCAATGGCGCAGCCTATATCAGTTCTTCAAAATTGCAACACACCAACACACCTCCTTTTCTAGACCAGCACATCCATGAGTCCACAAGTGGCGCAAAAGGATTTGCTATTTAAACAACGTGTCGCAAAACAATAAAAATACTTCTGCGCTGGTCTAAAAACTTTTTTTGTGTGGGTGTTTACAAAAAAATGTAAGATCTACGGATTATAAACAAAATCCCAAAAGATTTTTTTATCAACCTCTAAAGCAGAGATGCCCAAACTAGTTATTTTGAAATATTATGAAAAAAAATTAGGAAATAACCTATGGAGCCAGATCAGTCTCAAAAATAATAGATTTGCAAAACTATTAGATGCTCATAGATGCACGGCACAATTCACATTTACAAAATCCAATTCATAAATTCAAAACACAATGTGTGAATTCACAAGTACAAATCTGAAATATTTGCCCAAATGAACTGCATGTAGATTTATGAACAGTTTTTTTTAATTTCTGAACTAGATTTGTGTATTGATGAACTATATCGAATTTATAAATTGTGTTTGTCTATTTATGAGCTAGATTTGCATATTTGTGAATTGGGTTTTGAATTTACAATTTGGATTTGCATATTTATGAACTGTATTGTCTTTTTAATTTGTGTTTTGTGTATTTACGAACTAGATTTGTATATTTAAGAACTGTGCTCTGAATTTTTAAGTTGTGTTTGATGTATTTATGAACTAGATTTGCAGGTTTATGAATTGCCTTTTGAACTTACGAATCTGAATTGGGTATTAATGAACTGTTTTGAATTTCTAAATTGTGTTTTATTTATAAAATAGATTTGGTTATTTATAAGCAGCGCTTTGAATTTTTAAGTTGCGTTTTGTGTATTTATGAACTAGATGTGCATATTTATGAATTGTGTTTGGAATTTACAAATTGGGTTTGCGTATTTATGAACGGTTTGGAATTTCTAAATTGCGTTTTGTGTATTTATGAACAGTGCTTTGAATTTATAAGTTGTGTTTTGTGTATTTATGAACTAGATTTGCATCTTTTTGAACTAGATTTGCATATTTAGGAAATGTGTTTTGAATTTACGACTTGGATTTGCGTAATTATGAACCGTTTTGAATCTATAAATTGTGTTTTATTTATTTACAAACTAGATTTGCGTATTTATGAATTGCGTTTTGAATTTACCAATTACATTTTGCAAAAATAAAGTGTATATGAATTTTATTTTGTAAATGTACTATTTTTAAGACTAATCTGGCTCCATAATTACCCATGGCGACTTTAATAAAATACAAGTTTTCTACATTTACCCTCTGCCCCCTATTAAGTTTAGTTTTTTTGCTCTTCATAAGAAAATGTTTGGGCACCTCTGATGTCAAGAGTGCTGAGCTGAGAGTAAAAACCCTTCTTAAACTCTTTACCCATGTTTTGCAGGTCCTTCTGGTCGTTGTACAGGCGGGTGACCCTCTCCATCAACTCCCATTTCTCACAGCAGCCCTTGTAGTCGACAAAGTTTCGGGCTAGAATCTCCTTCAACTGCCGGACACTTAAATCCTCAATATCCTCCACTGATCCTAGGTCTGAGAGAGACGCCCGTCGGCCAGGAGCCAAAACTTCCTCTGAGTCTGAAAACTGACACACAAAGAGACAGCGAGTAAGTACAAGACAAAAGTCTTGTTATTGATTCCAGCTATAAGAGCAATTAATAATAATTTGACTATTAGTTGATCATTTGGAAGTGACATAAGGTGATGAGTTGGAAAATGAAAGTGCGTCATTTTTACTTTCACTTTTCTATTTTTAAAACTAGTTTACCAGTTAGTCACCCAAAGCCATAACCACAGAGCAATCTAAAGAGGAGCAAATCAGCTGTGGCAAACAAACCAAGTGTGAAGAGAAGTGTGTGACATGCCAAGAAGGATGCAAAGGGAGATTATAAAACACACACACGGACTATTGATCAATGTAAGACAGTTTGATGAAAGTTTAAGCCCACATCCTGTTAATATGCAAACAATATATGCTAATGCAGCGATAACATCTGCAGTTTAAAGGTCTGTTTGAAGGACTTCCACACTTTAGACTTTATTATTATTACACCAAGGAGTGGTGCGCTGTGTTGGCCTTCCACTACACTGTTAATGTTGCACATGTTTTGCTTAACGGGATAGTTCACTAAAAAAATAAAAATATTGACTCATTTTCCACTTGTATCAAAACCTGCTTGTTTTTTTTTACTTCTTTTAACACAAATAAGTATATATATTAAAAGGATGTTGGAGCCATTGACTTCCATAGTATTTTTCTTCCTACTATGGATGTCAATGGCTCTTGTTTTGGGTTCAACAAAAGTATGGCTGCCGCGATTCGTCTGTATAATCGATTTATTTTATATTATATATTATTTTAGTTTTCACGTTTTGACTAAAATAACCACCAAAAGCTGATTAGAAACCATAAAAATACATTAAATAAAAATCTATTTCACTTTCAAGAGTTCACCTTTAGCTGATGATTGATTATGAAGCTAGTTTGGCATGCTGTCCTGGGAGAGAGCCCTGAACTCGTGAGATCCTCGAGCCCGGGGCTCCCTCTCGTTGCAGGGCGAGAGGGGAGTCCGAGTTCAGGTAGGTCTCGAGAACTCCCCTGCTTGATAATGTTGGAAGTAGATTGATTCTATGAAGTGTCCATGCTGTCAAAAAATCTTAATAAAGGTGTAAACACATTAAGGGTGTTTATTTGCTGAAAATTCATATTAAAATCTGTATTATTTGTATCGTGCAAAGTATATTTGTAAGGCTTCTGTGCATTATAAAAATAATGAAAAGATAAAACTATGAATCATTGTATGAATGCTGTAATATTTAAAAAATGATCTGTTCAAATATGTGAAGTACATGTGAACATCAGGAAGAATGCTGCATCTCATTTCTCACAGGAAGTGTTCTGTGTTCTCGCCGTCTTACGAGTTTGTTCTTCTGATGTAACTTGGCAGGACCGGTCTTCACAAGAATGTGAGCCCGTTCTTTGTGTTCATGGAATTGAGAAACAGCCTATGTATTTTTTTTGCCGCTAGCAAAAACAAAAAGGCTCAGATTGATGAGTGTGACTTTGGTCGGCATGGGAGGGACAGGGTTTTCAAATCTATTACGCTAACGGATATTATTTTGGCAGATCCCCTACTGCACCTTTAAGAGGGACTGGCATGAAAAGAAAAGACTTGAAAATAGACGAATAGACGAGCGGTTCATGAAAGGAAAACGACAAATTAACAAGAAGCCAAATCTTTCAGTGCAAAAGATAAGTAAATAAATAATAGTAATAGCAATATTGATTCACAGAAAGATGGCCAGAATTGACTGTTCTTTCCTCTGCCCCATTGAACAGGCCAGAGAGCAGCAGAAAGACGAAGAGGAGGAGGAGGAGGAGAGGAGTTTCAGGAGTTACCTGCTCCTGCTCCATCTGCAGCTCAGTGTCCATCTCGCTCTCAGCTGTCACCTCAGCCAAGCTCTGGGGGTCAAAGGTCACAGCCAACACAGTTTAACACAGCTGTGCTAACCATCTTAGGGCCTACTCACACTATGCTATCCGTACAGTGCCCAGGCCCGTTTCCAGGATCGTTTGAGAAGTGTGAGTGCGCTGAATCGGGCTCAGGCACGGTTCACTTGGCCAGCCCAGGCCGGGTTGGAAGAGGTGGGCCTGAGCGCGGTTCACTTGGGCTTTGGCAGTACGCTTGTGTGTGAGTGCAAAATGCGCCTATGCCCGAAACTGAAAGCAAGACGTGTTTTTTAAGAGACTGTTTGATATGGATTTATTAATCATTCTTACTGTTCAATGAACGCAAACTGTTGTATTTTATTAAAGATGCAAACCCCTCACTGCACGACAGCTGCACCTTCAGCAAACCTCCTAATTCCTGCAGCACGAGGACTTTATGATTGTTTATGAGCTTCAAAAGTGGTTGATCTGTTCGGCGAAATATCTGACTGCGTGTCACTGCATCCCTAAGGACTAAAGCGATATAACTAGAGAAATCTCTTCTGTGCAGAGCGAGAGCGCTTACTTAATGACATAAGCGTGCCCAGGCCCGATTGTGATGAGTGCGGGCCATCAGGGGAGACAGGAAGGAGGACAAGCGTGCTTTGACCCGGTACATAGTGTACGAACTGTACATAGTGTGAGTACGGCCTTACTCGCTTTATTTTATAACAAATACTACACACACTCCTCTGTGTGCTTGAGCAACAGTGTGCGTCAAAAAGGAGTCATTTTAAAGCTAGACTTTACTGCTGTGTGAAGCAGACTGAAAGTAAAGCGAAAGGCTGTGAACACTGATGTATTCCATCAAAATTCAATAAAGATTTAAATACAATTTATCTTAACATGTTTAATGTAGCAAGGTAAATTTAAGCAATGCATTAACAATTTGACTTGTTAACCCTTGTGCACTGTTCAAATTTACTACCCTTAAGTTACGTTTGGGATGAAAACATACACTGAAATAAACTGCTGTAAAAATGCATCAGACTAATGTTTTTCAGATTTACTTGCGTTAATCTGTTAATCAACCTCAGTCCTGATCAAAACTACTAAATTCTTTAAAAAAAAAAAAACAGGATTTTAACTATTTAATTGGCCAATTCACAAATGATGTCACAGATTTAAAGAGCCCATATTATACATGAAATAAGGTCATATCTTGGTTGTAAGGGTCTCCAACAACAGTCTAATATGCATGCAAGGTCAAAAAACACTTTCATGGTCTTATAATCTGCATTTATTTTTATCTAATTATCCCAGCGACTCCTGTATGAATCGTCCAGTGATTCATTTGTTCCCAAACCCCTCCTTAGCGCGGAGCTAATCTGCGCTGATTGGACCGATGACAGTCTGTCGCGATTGGTCGACTGCCTTCAGTCAGAGAGGGAAATGGCCAATAGCTAATCAGCAATTTAAAAAGTAATCACAGTTCATACACGCTCGATAGTGTAGGCGTGGACTTTAGCTGCCACACTATGGCGAGTGGATAGTGCCACGGATAACCGAACGAAGGAGACAGTCGTGTACTCGCCATACCACACACACACAAAAACACACACACATCTCCGGATGACAAAGCTCCCGCTTCAGCCCGCACCCGCCAGGTTTTAGCCTGAGAACCCGCTCCGTTTTCTGCCCGCCGCGCCCGGTCCCGCTAGAGCGGAGAACACAACCAAATATCACCCAGTATACAGTCCAGACAGCCAAGCTGTCAGTATAAAAACACACACACAGCACAAAGTACACAAAGCTCGTTCGTTCGTTTGCTCTCTCTCTCGCTCGCTCTCTCTCTCTCTCTCTCTCTCCCCGCGCCAGATTTCTGCGGCGCGGGAATACATTTCCGAATAAATCGCGGGAGCAGAACTCTAGCACGGAGCTCCATAAACAAACAGCACGCGTCGCGTTTTTAACGTGACTGCACGCGATAAGATAATATATCCAGTTAACCTGATACAGTACACGCGGTTACAAGTAACAAATCACAACTAAATACATTTGCAAGCTAGAGTAAACGAGGCAACAACTTTAACCGCACGTACTTACACTTGAGAAATGTAGGAAGAAACCCATCCTGACGTCCATCAGTTACTCTTTACTGATCCTTCCTTTAACAAACTCAGATGAAGTATTCTTTGTAGCATGTAGCTTCCAGAAGTTTCCAACTGCTTGGTTATAATGCTGATGTTTCATCTTTGGGTAGAGACTCAATATAATATCCATCTGCAGTGTGACTTCAATCGACCGGCATGTTTGTGTGCGTGTGTTTGTGGGTGTGCGTGTGTTTGTGGGTGTGTGTGTGTGTGTGTCTGGGTTACTGCGTCAGAGGGCGGGGCCTCAGGTTTGAAATCTCCCGGGTTTGCGCGTGCACGTGAAAAACTTTGTTTCGTTCGTACGTCATGGCGAAACACCTAATGAGTCGGTATCAAGGCGACTCGTTTGAAGCACTATGATTCGACTCTTTTATAGATGAATCAACAGTTTTAAACACTGTATTCTTACAGATTTAAGCCTTAGCTGGATACTTCACTTCACTTAGAGCTGTGTTACACACTACATGGAGGGGAATTTTCAAAAACCCATAATATGGGCTCTTTAATGAAAAAAAAAAAAAACATACAAAGTGACGTATTTTCAATATAAAAAGTAATTGTGGACTGGATTTTTCCCCCTTTTATCACAGTCTTGGACATGTGAACGATCAGTAACAACATTAGCTATGATGCGTTGTTAGATTTTCATTTTTTCTCCCTGATTTACTGTTGGGGTCTGTTTTTGCCCCATTGACTTCCATTATAACCACATTTGATGGTGCATAAATACACAGTCTTTGTTTTTGTTTACTCCATGTAGTTCTAAGAGTTGAGATGCACATTTTGATTTTCTCAGACACATCAAGGTAAGTGTGCAAAGGAAACTCTCACACACTCACTACCTATGTAAAGGCTTAATGCTGCCAACTGATAATCGACGATAAAAAACGACAAATTTGATCTCTTCTCAGCTGGCAAAACCCCCAACAATAAAAATTGCATAATTATACGATGTCATGGCTTTGTAATAAAAAAATGTAGTAAAAATGGAAGTCAATGAGGTGAAAATACTAGCAAACATGCTAATTCATACCAGCAACATGCTAATTCATACTAGAAACATGCTCATTCATAATAGCAACATGCTAATTCATACTAAAAACATACTAATCATACTAGCAACATGCTAATTCATACTAGAAACATACTAATCATACTAGCAACATGCTAATTCATACTAGAAACATGCTCATTCATAATAGCAACATGCTAATTCATACTAAAAACATACTAATAATACTAGCAACATGCTATTTCATAATAGCAACATGCTAATTCATACTAGAAACATACTAATCATACTAGCAACATGCTACTTCATACTAGAAACATACTAATCATACTAGCAACATGCTAATTCATACTAGAAACACTAATCATACCAGCAACATGCTACTTCATACTAGAAACATACTAATCATACTAGCAACATGCCAATTCATACTAGAAACATACTAACCATACTAGCAAGATGCTACTTTATACTAGAAACATACTAATCATACTAGCAACATGCTTATTCATACTAGAAACATGCTAATCATACTAGCAACATGCTACTTTATACTAGAAACATGCTAATCATACTAGCAACATGCTACTTTATACTAGAAACATACTAATCATACTAGCAACATGCTCATTTATAATAACAACATGCTAATTCATACTAGAAACATGCTAATCATACTAGCAACATGCTAATTCATACTAGAAACATACCAACAAACACACTAATCAAACTAGTAACATGCTAGTATGTTTCTAGTATGAATAAGCATGTTTGCTAGTATAAGTATGTTTGTTGGTATGTTTCTAGTATGGATCGGTATATTCTAATTGTTATATATGATGAAAAATAGCCAATATGTTAGAAGAAAAATACCATTCAGAATTTGGAGAAAAAATAATAATAATAGCAGCAATGATAAATTTTAGGGGAGTGGGGGTGGGGTGGGGTCATGGCTGATTTTGTCTCCTGTTCGGACGGAGTTAACTTCCCCAATTTGACTCATCTCTTAATCGAAATTATTGATGGAATGGGGGAACAGCAGAAATGTCAAACAGTAATATTTTTAATGACACATAATATGAATTAAAGGCTTACGAGGATACTTATATTTACTGTAGTGTTATCAAAATAATGGAGCATTGCTGAATATAATACATTTTTTTTACCTTTGTGATCACATGCACCTGATTTGATCAATTATTATTATTGTTAGTTTACCTGTCCATTGTCCATGGCTTGTGTTTGTGGTCCCAGTTCTGTTGTGTTGTTGTTCCCTGACGGGCTCACTGTAATGACGGGAGTGTCCAGGGTCTCCTGCTGGTCTAAGCGTGTGGTTTCTGGGGCTGGAATGTGCGTGTCAGACGTGGGCGTCTGCTGGCCGAGAACCAGCTCGACCAGCTCCTCCTTCTCACGGCACATCTGCGTCGGGACGCCGTGCAGGTGAAGGTAGTCCCTGAGATCCTTCACCTTGAGCTTCATGAGTTCTGCTCGCTCCAACAAGATGCCGCGGAAACGCTGGCAGGTGCGGCACAGCCACGGCTGGAGCTCCTGCTGAGTGGAGCACTGGCTGCAGTAGCTCTTCTTGCAGTCCATGCACACGTGCTGCAAACAATAATGGGAGAGGCTGTTTTAAAGGTCTTGTGACGTGCTTCGAAGTGTGCAGTCAGTTTTATTTAATGTTTGACAATCTCAACAAATATGTAGCTCTTCCCCTTAGCCAATAGCATTTGGTTTATATCACAGCTCTGCCAGTGAGAATAGTTGAGCTCAAGCACATCAAAAGAAAAACAAATAAAAATCACTTAAAGGGGGCAGGGCTTGTCAGATACTAGAGCGCATTTGATTGGTCAGAAGATTCGATGAGAAACTGAAGTATGAGGTGATGTAAAAAAGAAAACATTGATCCATTTTTAAGCGAAAGATTGAGCTTTAGATGATTATATCTTCTCATAGATGTATATATACACTAGACATTGCATACTGACCCAGAGCATGCATCAATAGCGCCGCCACATTTATACAGTGCTCACAGGACAAATGCCATTCAACCACACTAGTCAAGACTGAAGCCAATCTGAAGATGCTGTTCTTTAGCGCTGTGTATGGGTGTAGTAATGAGCGAAAAACACAAAAAAAAAAAAAAACAGTACAAAGGCAGAACATTTCATAGGTAAGATTCCGTTATTTACATTATTTTAACATTATTGATGATAATAGTCTCTTACTGCCCTGCCTGTAAGGAAAAGTAGCACCACCCTACACTAAATTCTAGGCCTATGCTAGTTTTGTACAATAAAATAAGCAAACAATGTAAATGAAATATGACAATAAGGTGCTGAGCTGTCAGAAACTTGTATTATTGTCGGCTAAGTGAACGAGTCGTTTATAACAAGGATTCATCCACAAACGAATCACCCCCTCAATTAAAATGAGAAGTGAAAGCAGGAGAGGTGGTGTGTTTCAGGACATGGATTAGATCAATTTTAACAAGGAGGAACGATAATACATTTCCATGCACACAAACACACGCTCTTTGTCAGTAATGTCCGCACGGTCACTTATTAATAAATGTAGAAAAGTGATGTAAAATTATAATTTTCATAACTTAGATAAATATTTGCATACTGACCACCGGGAAAAATCCAGATCATAGAATATATATATATATATATATATATATATATATATATATATTTATATATATATATATATATATATATATATATATATAAATATATACATATATATATATATATATATATATATATACATACATACATATATATATACACATACATACATACATACATACATACATACATACATATATATACATCTCTGGCTCTGAATGGTCAGTCATCTACTGCATCTTGGTTCCACATTACTACTCTGTACTTAAATGGCGGCTCTATCGACGCATTCCTTCTGATAGACAACAAAACTGTTTGAGCACACTAGCTTATGGATATCCTAGACTAACATACTAATAATAACATCAACAAAAAAACTATTTTATTTTCAGGGGAGCTTTAAAGTCATGTTATGACTGGAACACAATGTCTAATCTGAAGTGTGAGATTAACGATTAAATGAGTTGAACGATTAAACTGAAATCTTAAGACAATTGTGTTTTGAAACACTGTGATTAGCTAATCGCTAAGGTTGCGATATAAATGTATAACATACAATGTTTGACTTTCCTCTTTGTGTGACAGGCTTACTAACCAATAGAGTGAGCACACCTTCATTCTTCCAAGTCAACACTGCCTTCCGTTGGAAATAACCAATTTGCGCATGGATAAGATGCGATGTGAACGGCCCCCAAGGCCACCGTCATTTGCGATTTACAGCCGTTGATCTTCTTGCACACATAGACATGCTGGATTCACCTGATTTGTTGACAAATGGGTTGCAGATACAGTTTGTGAGTTCTTCACGGGGCCTTTTCCCCTTCACAAAGAAACTTTCCAAAGACGTCTGTTTCTTACTCATTTTGCTAGCTTGAGGGTACAAGTTTGGTGCTCAAGTGACCGAGAGAATATGTCATTTTTTAAAATAAAAGATTGTAGAGACTTAAATAATAAATAAAATGGAATTAAATGATGATTTCTTGTGTGGCCTGGTACCAATTGATCCATGGACTGGTACTGGTCAGTGGCCCAGGGGTTGGGAACCATTGATGTAGATTGCAAATGTCCTTGTGAAATGGTTTTAATGTTATTTGTGAGTGTGTTCTACAGAAGCGGACTGCAACTTTTGAAAGAGGGCTCCTTTGAGCAACTTCTTCCAATCAGTCAGTAGTTTTTAGGAAAAATTGCCTTTTTTTCAGCCGATACCAAGTATTGTTTCTATAGGAGTGATCTGAGCTCTCAGACTCCTCCAATAGAAGATGGCTGAGGTTGCATAGGCTGCGCAATAAACTAAAATGTTGCTAGCTATCTTTTTTATGCAAACATGGAAAATGTGCATTGCCTAATCAAAAATGACAGAGGTTATGTCCATGTATTGTGCGAAAAGTCAATATATTGATGATTGTGACAGGCCTAGGGAAGGGCAGTCACGCTGGATGAGCACGCTCCACATAATGACTCTACTCACTGAGGCCTGAAAATGTATGTAGGACATTATGTAGAATGTGCAGTGGCTGTGGTGTAAACTGGGGCTTAAGGCTTCACACTCTTTCATGTACAGCAGATTCAAGGACTTTTTAAAAGCAGCATTCATTTGAAATAAAGCAAATTCACACACCCTCGCCAGCATATGTAGCACCATGAATGTCTTAACATTTTACTTACAATTAATATTTACATTAAAGTGTCGGAGTAATGATAAGGTTGATGTCAAATAAATGTCAAAATTAAATTAAAATTGAGTTTTTAATCAGTCAAATAACTTTAATAAAATTTGTTGAATTCAAATTAGTAATATTAGCTAGTTCTTATTAATTACTTCTCATAATTCCTGTTGATTATTAATTGAAGAATTTCATTTTTTTGAGAGCAGCGCAGTAACCACTTTAATAACATCGTAAACAATTTTAACGTAAATTTTAATTCGAGCACTTTCAAGGGCCTGTGTTTGTTTTTAAGTACTGTTGAGCTCTTGCATCATCTGAAACTCAAGTACTTTCAAGAAGCGTTGGAGTATTTAATGTTGATAATGGGACTGTTTCTTTTATTAACAGGGATACAAAAGGCACCTATGAGAGCTGTTTCTTATATCTTGTCTTGTCGTATTTGGCTATATGCAAAATACCCTGCCCTCTCATTTTAGGCAAAGCGTTTTATCTAAAATATCAAGACGTCATGGATATTATCATTATAATAAACACTAGAGATTCTCCAGTGAATGTACTACAGGGTTTCTGCAGATATCATAATGTCAAATGTAAGTTTTTTTAAGACCATTAAGCATTCAATTTAAGACCTATCACAAATTAGTGACAAAACAAATGTATTTAAATTGAACAGGACTGAAGACAATTTAGGCGACGCAGTGGCGCAGTGTGTATCACGTTCGCCTCACAGCAAGCCTTACGTTCGCTGGGTTGCTGGTTCGATCCTCGGCTCAGTTGGCGTTTCTGTGTGGAGTTTGCATGTCCTGCCTTTGCGTGGGTTTCCTTCGGGTGCTCTGGTTTCCCCCACAGTCCAAAGACATGTGGTACAGGTGAATTGGGTAGGCTAAATTGTTCGTAGTGCATGAGTGTGTGTGTGTGTATGCTTCCCATAGATGGGTTGCGGCTGGAAGACATCCGCTTCGTAAAAACTTGCTGGATAAGTTGGCGGTTCATGCCGCTGTGGCGACCCCGGATTAATAAAGGGACTAAGCCGACAAGAAATGAATGAAGACAATTTACTTGCATTATCGAACTACAGGGAAAAAAAAAACACCTTAAGTCTGATTTATACTTCCATCTGGCGCTGCATTGCGCACCTCCGCTGGAACCTCCTCAAACGGACGAGGCTCTTAAAAACGACAGGGGCGGTCAAAAGAAAGCCACCAGAAAGTCAGACAGATAAACAGAGAAGTACGACATTTTTCATGAACTACATCATATCATTAATATCGTTCAAGAGTTTTAAACTAATTATATTTATTATTTTTGATAATATTTATAGATTTATATAATTTATTTGAATGATAAGGATTTTTATAACCATTCAAGATTTTTAAAGATCAAACTTTGATGCATCACTTGCTTTTGTTCATATCTCAGACAGTTCTACTTAATAAAGTTAAATATTGATGACTACAGAATATCGGTTGCTCTACAATTATATTTTTATTATAAAAAGAACAAAAATAAATAAATCCACTCCACAATTCACACATTACTGTCTGGCTAGTTTCTGTCCTCTTCTTATATGCTAAAAAGGCAATAATGGTCCAACATTCCTGACCAATATCACCAATAAAGCCCAGAAAAATGTCATCAGTGTATTGTAAATCGATAGGTTCAAATATTATTTCCCAATTATCAAAGAAATAATTTGTTCCTTAATTTTGGTTTGGCAACTATTAAATTGTTTTAAACTCAAAACGGAAATGTATACATCAGTGTAAAACCTATGACTGGTGGAAAAACATATTTCTGTAATTGTGTACCTGGGTCTCCACTTTTACCATGACCACTTTTGGCTTTAACAAACTTTTCCTTCAGGTTTTTCCAAACTTTTTAACACAGAGCTGTTGCAATTTCTAGTTAAGAATTATTGTTTATCTGTTTATCCCTCTGATCATGCATGGACGGATCATAAAGGTTTCTGTACAGACCAAGTGATTCATATTCAACTCAAATGAAACGTGGCACCGCACGAACTGTTCGCTCAAGTCTCAAAAATTTTCGTGAGCTCCGCCAGCCGAAATCATGTTGCGTGCACCCAAAGCGATCTCTGCAAACACTGCGATGACGTCACATTCGCCACGCACACCGAGTTCAATAACAGAAAGGTGATGGTTATTGCATGTTGGTCTCATTTGTAGTTTACATTTGGACTAGTGAAATAAAGAACTACAACACCATGAAAACCAAGCAACAACAACAACAAAAAAAAAACAGCGAACTTAAGACTTTCTAAGGCCTTAAATTTCAATAAGAAATTTGTAACTTTTTAAGACCTTTTAAAACCCAGCGGAAACCCTGTACTAGAATAAGGCTTGAGCGCAGCATCATGGCCTTCAGCAACAGGGCCAGCTGGAACAGGAACAAACTCAACTAGACATTCTGACCTGAAAAACTGTGAACTTTCACATGTGAGTGTCTAGCATGATAATCAGTGAGCAAAGGCTCAAAACCTGCTCGTGAGGACATCAGTGCTCTTTTAGGTGTGTGGCTGTTAGGTTCCACTTTAACTTTAAATAAAAATAGACTTGCATGAATTATAAAATAAGTGCAATTTGTGACTGGCACAAGGTTTAAAGGGGTAATTCACTTCTCTTCACATCAAAAATCTGTCATCATTTACTCATCCTAATCATCGTTTTAAATTTGAGGAGCCAAAGAAACAGGTATTTTAAAGATTCATTTTTAAAGTAGCAAAGATCACCTGAGTAAAAACATCTTATTATATGTTGTCATTTAAGTTGCACAACCGTAGTTCATTGAGAAGCGATGCAAACAGATTTCATTATCACAGAACTATTATCTTGATGTTATTAAATGAACTTGAATCAAACCTTATTTGTTGTGTGTAGCTTATCAGTGTTCTATGATGTGTGGTGCACTCTGCTCTGTCTGAATGCAATGTCCCATAATGCTTTTTTAAAATGAATGCTTCTGCAACTGGCCACAAAGACATCTTGAGTTTATTAAGCTTCAGTGGCTGAAGTTGTGCCAAATTATTCCATAAAGTATACATGACTTTAAACAGCCTTTTCAGTCAACTTAAAAATGATTTGGCACAACTTCATTCACTAAAGCTTAATAAACTAAAAATTTATTTGCAGCTGGTAGCTTTCAATTTCTAATTGTCATTAGATGAACTGTGGCTGAGGCTATTAACTGAGGGCTGCTAACATATTGAGACTTTTGTGCGCACAAGTTCGTTATTTCTTATCCTTCGCGCATATTGGAAGTGGCGCTCTCATGCTTTTCAGGCGCACCCAGTTAAAATAATGGTGCGAATGTCACGAGACGAGAACTGACCATTCAGTTTCAAACTTTGTAAGGAATATAGACATTTCTACTCCAAAGATTAAAAAAATACAAAACAAGTTCATAATCTAGTTGCTGAAAAGTGCCTCTCAGACTGAGTTTCAGCAGCCTTTGACTACATTTAATTTCTTTTAAAGAAAAATATTAGCTAATTTGATGCTTAGATTTACATTAGACAGAAACTATTGTTTTTATTATTTAATTATTGTCATTCATTTATTTTCAGTGCAAAATTATTACTTGTGTTTAAATGCCAAAAACTTTTGACTTATTTTTAAGTCCAAAGAGAAATGAATAGGGATGTAACGGTATAAAAATTTCACGATACGGTAATACCTCGGTATGAATGGCACGGTACGGTGTTTATTAAATAATTTAAAGGAAAAAAAAAAAACTATTGAAGAGACTCAAAAAAAGTGCTAGAATGTTCAGGTTACCTCAACACTGAACAGATCAATGACATACAAATGATCTATCTGTAAACTTTCAAAGAGGAACTTAAATTATTCAATTTTAATAACAAAAAATATTAAACCATGTTAAAAAAAAAAAAAAAAAAAAAAAAAAAAAACACCACTCGAAAGGACAAGCCATGAGTGAGATAGAGGTCTCTTGGTGGTACAAGTCAATGTCTCCATCAATCTGAGCAGTGTGCTGTGTTCTGCTGTCCCCTTGACTAAAAGAATCCCCATCATGTTAGTCGTATTCCCCGACTTGTATTTCAGCACTGTCTGGCAGTGCCTGCATACCCTTTTTTCTGTCACCTTTTCTTCTTTTCAGAGAGAAACTGAAATGCTTCCACACATCTGATTTAAAACCCGCTTTAGGTTCGACCATTTTTAGCTCTTTTTCTTTGCCGCTACTAGCAGCACCCTCCATTTCTTCATTACTGGATCTGTAGCGACAACAGACCGCAAAGGATGATGGCCACGCCTGGGCTGATGAAAATTGTAGTTTCCGCTACCTCCCATTCGCTCCATTCGCCTGAGCAAACTTTTCACCAAAAGTCACAACCACAGTAATATTGAAAGAAATTGCTATTGCGGTATGACGGTATTTACAATATTGTTACATCCCTAGAAACAAACTATAGTTTTTTTTATATATGCGGTATATTATTTTGTGCTGTATTATCTGGTTACTGAACAGCATTAACACTTCACAATATAAGTTTTCACGTGGTTTTCTAAACTAGTAGTGTTTTGAAGTTAATAATTGCAGAATAATCACGATGACGATGAAATTGTGATTATTCCTCGGACTATGATCAACCAAAATCTAAAATTGTTGCATCCCTACTTTTCATGTGATTACCTTCCTGGTTAAACTGTCGAAGCGACCTCCACAGGACTTGCATGTGTGTTCTGGTGCAGTGGGAGACGGGTAACTGCTGAAGCCTGAGTTCGTGAAGGCCTGGCGCTGTTGGCTTCCTCTGGTGTCTTCCATACTGGAATCATCCAGACATAGCCAGCCGCAGCAGCTGGCCCACATGCTCCACACCTACTGGAAAACACACAGGGAAAAAAAGCATGCGTCTGTTACAAGCAAACCACACACTGAATCAGCTCAGATCAAACCAAACCCCCTAGATCTAAAAGACAAAGGGTGAACTTTCTTCAAAGAGTGGTCTTCTCTAATAAGTACCCTTGGAAGTGAATTAGCGTGATGATTAAAGTTCTTACAGCGTCAGTCAGGGTGGCTGATCAGCTGTCAGCTGGAGTCATTTGGCTTAAGAAGTAGGACTTCCATCATTTATTCAAAGGCTGTGTGCAGTCTAAAACACAGGAGCTGTGCAATACTCCTACTAGGATGACACTGTATCCTCACACACACACACACAGGCAAATAAAGGCTGACTGATCCAGTAGCACTACCATGGTTGCACCTCTCACAGTTTGGACATGGTGTTTGAATAAGACGATAAGATGAATCATTAAAACAGTAAAAACGACTGCACCGAGGTAACTCTCGCCAGTAGCCATTATTATCATGATTACAATGACAGACGGTCAGTCATATGGAAAAAAGTACTGATATTAAAAACCTTTATGATCAGAATTTGACTTCAATCTCCATATGTCCAGTTTAAAACTTTAGCAAACATTTGCTGATGATTTCGGATGAATAGACGAATTACCACCATTTACAGCGAGGGAATGACATCAGATGCGGTACAGAGTTTGATGTTGTATTAGAGACAAGTTATATTGATTATACAGGGCTCGAAATTGCGACCGAAATTTGATCTATGCAACCTCAAAATATATTTGGGAGCATTTGTGCGAGTGCATAAAATTGTTGTGTGCGACCAGTTTTTACTACAAAATGTTCACCACATGCGCAGATTCGGGAGACATTCACGCAGAATGCATCTCTAAGCTCTTTGTCTGCACTTGAAACGCGAGATGTAGTGCTTAGGAATGGTTTAAAACAGCTGTCATGTCAACATGCTGCAGTAAACAAAGCCAAGTCCGTAATGCTTGCCCCGCCTTTGCGCTCTTCTTATTGGCCCACTGCTCTAGCACTGAAATATCAGCTGTCGATCACTCAGTCAATGCCCTCTGGCTTGGGATGACAGGGAGAGCTACTACCGCGAAAAATTGTTAACGCGCTGAAGAGGAGAATGAAGATAACACTGACAGATTTAGTTTTAGAAACCATGGCATCTAAAGTTACAAATAATGACACATCTTACTAGTGATCATGTGCTGAATGTTAATCTACCATCTACACTTTTGGATAAAAGACATCCATTGGCTTCAAGTCTGCTATGAAAAGTCTGCGGGATGGAATTATCAGGTTACCGTTTGCCACATCTACCATGAGAGCTTCTGTTTAATCCTTCATGTAGTCGCCAGATGGTGTCTGCCGTGCTAGTGGCAGCTATATGTCAAATTTAACACCACGTAAACCAACGCAAACGGGCTTGCACTGAGTAACCTAATATTGCTACCGGTATTGCTATTAGCATGACGTATGCATATAATAAGGTACAGTACATGTCAAAAACATCAGTGCAATATTAGACACCACCCGTGAGAACAGCACAGTTATATCGAGATTCATTCATGTCAAGCAGTGCATGCAGGGCCGGTGAGCGCTCCGTGTACCTTTGGCTTTTGGTCTCTCAGTTATGTTATAAAAATCAATTTTCTTGTGATAACTGGACATATTTTCCTCACGCTTGCATATTTTTTGCTTGTTAGTTTGATTACTGTTTATTTCAAATGCAATAAATATGTTTGTATAAAACTTGTAGTAACGGTGCCTATAAGTGCGACTAAATTTTGGCTGATCCGCCTATATTTTTTAAGTTAGGAGCACCGATGCTACCAAGCAAAAAGATTCATTTCGAGCCTTGTTACATATTTTATATATATATATATATATATATATATATATATATATATATATATATATATATATATATATATATATATATTATTTACATAATGCTTTCAGCATATTCTAACAGCTCGTCACCCAGTGATAAGCACAGTTATTCTGCAAAATTAACGTTAAAGTGAGCGGCGTTCGTCTGACAGGTCTATTTGCAACACTGGGACACCCTCCGTATGATATTGGATGAGACAAAATGGCCAAGCATCCAGCCCCAAATATACTATCTCATTGAAGCTCCAAGTGATTTTACAAGAGAGAAGTTAAAGGTCTACAAGTCTTTGGATGCCAACGATTTAGTTCAGTGTGGTCATGTGCAGGAAATAATGTTAAATGATTACCAGATCTAAAACTTTGTAGTGCTAAAAACTGAGGTTCTGCCTAGCCAAAGACAAGGAAAGAAGACGGAACTGTACAAGGCCTGGGTAATCATCAACAAGCAAAACAACTGCATTCTGACAGTGAACAGCACCTGTATGGTAGGTTATGTGAACGTAGATTTTCACATTTCATCCTTATCATTCAGTGTCCGCAGTTTAATTCACCATATTAACAGTTTTTGCTGAAATCATTGCTGCAATCAAAAACGAGAAATGTGTATCATTCAGCATAGCGTGAACTTACCTTACCTTTATTTTACATCTGCAGAATTGTGAGAAAATCATGATCTTTATTTTAAGCAAAATAATCATGATTCTCATTTTAGCCAGAATCGTGCAGCTCTACTACAAAACAAAACCCACTAAGAAATAAAAAATTGAATAAATCACATTCATGTGGAAAAACCAGAGTGATTTCAGACAAAGAGCTTAGAATGACCAAGAGGCGACACTCTAGTGTAATTTGGGAAACATTTTGGAATGAAAACTCCAATAGAACAACAGCATATTATAAGTCTGTAAAATAAACTATTAAAAGTGCTGATGAATATGATAATAAGTGTTGTATTGTCGTCTTTCAGGTTGTATCTCAGCTTTAATACGCTTTTTAAATAGATAAATAAAAAACAAAAGCAGCTGCTTGCCATTGCTAAAGTAATGAGATCCAATGGACGGCCGATCACTTTCACTCCAAAATGGCGAAATCCAGGGCTGTTGCTGGGCGCTGCTGTTGCAATGGAACGTTCTATTGAGTGTCGCCTCTTGGTCATTTTAAGCTCTTTGTTTCAGATCTACAAAGTTTCTCCTGCTACTTAAAAACAAACAAACAAAAAAAAAGCTGCAAACCCAAAGAAAGGGAGTAACTAACAGAAGGATCCTGTTACTCTTGACAAAACTTTAGAAAGGAAAACCTCTAGCTTCATCCAACTTCATCAGCTATTATCAGGCTGACAATGGTAACAGAACATCTACAATAATGACAAAATCATCATGGTCCAGTGCTGGAACCATCAAGAAAAGCAAAACAATTAAACACATTTATTTTGCAAACACTGACGGACTTTTCACATTTGAAATTGTTGACACTGGTTGATCCTTAACCCTGGATAAACAGAATCCTGAGTTGTCAGTAATCACGTATCACACTGCTCATACTACACCTGGGGTTAACTGTTAATCCTGGATATTCATTAACAAAAGTTTCATACTGTACATTCACAAACCCAGAGTTAATGTTCTAATTTGCATATTTGCAAGACTTGAATCACTGATTGGATGAACAGTAGGGAACCAGCTTTTACCAGTTATTTTTTACAAAATGACACCGCTTTAGCTGTTTTAAGCCTCATTATACACACAAAGGCAAGAAAACAAAAACAAATGAATGAAAATGAGCAGCAAAGTATTTCATTTGAAAAAATTATAAACTATTGATAAAAATGTTTAAATAACGGTTAAATCTATAATGGGTTTTAACATTGTGTGATAGTTTTGCATGTTCAAGCCTGTTGTGTTGTGTTTAAAATCGGTCCTGGAGGGCCGGTGTCCTGCAGATTTTAGCTCAAGCTTGCCTCAACACACCTACCAGGATGTTTCTAGAAAACCTATAAGAGCTTGACTACCTAGCCCGGGTGTGTCTGATTGGGGTTGGAACTAAACTTTGCAGGACACCGGCCCTCCAGGACCAAGCTTGGACATGCCTGCTGTTTACAAAAAATAAAATAAAAAAATTACTGACATGCTTTCACTTTAAATTCCCCTCATGACATCAGTTGAGTGTTTGAGGTAGGGCTGGATTGATAAATTAATATCGATATTTACTGACCAAACATCATTGTCAATAATGACGAAAAAAGTTGGGTTTGAATGTGGCTGCTAAGTGCGCACCTTGGAAGCAATGCCAATAAGCTTAGAGTGTAAATTTGTCATTTTCAATGAAGGCACGCGACTTTCACAACGCACACATGAGAGTGACACACACATGGTGTGCAAGTGGCGCACAAGTAATCCAAGTGCATTTTCCAGGTGCACCCAGATGAAAAACATCTGAACTACCTCAGACAAACACAGCACACCCAAACACTGTAGTGCTTTTCACTTTCCTCCATAAACATGCATCAAGCTGCAGCAATGATTTTTCCATTTGTAATCCTCTGAAAAAACAGTTGATGGTCGTCTTGTTACAAGAGACGCCAGGGGAGCGCAAAGCGCACTAAGAATGGTAAAGGAAACCATGCGCATGCACATGTCACTTCAGGTCAGAGTAAAAACACATGTGAAAATGAGTGGCGTATAGCAGCAGTGAGGAGATTGTAAATAAAGGATGTAAGGATGTCGTCAGAGTGGCTGTTTGGTTTCTTTTCTTGTGCATCTCAGCCACTACCTCCCCATCTGAAAGATTTTTAGCAAAAGGGTGATGTAGTCATTCAACTTCCCAATTTGTAATGTTGCCGTATGTATTTGAATGATGTTGGTTGGTTCCTTTACTTGAAAGCTCAGATTTGATTATCATAATTAATTTTGTTTACAAAGGTTTACTGTATCATTATTATTGACATTATACAGATGTGGATTTACCTTGAAATTTACTTTGATTGTTACACTTTGTAACATTTTATTTATCAAGTTTAAGAGAGTCTCTTTAACACTCATGTATATTTTATTAGAAAGAGATCAGATATTTTATTAAAATATTTTAGTTTTTGACTATTAAAACTATTT